GGGGTCACTCACGTAAACGCATTCTGTAGCCGTTAGGCTGTGAGCCTCGCATCCCTGCAATACTCGCTTGCTGTAGGGGGAGGTGTACTCGTAGCCGTGCATGCCGTACCGTGGTCGGTAGACCATTGACCTCGCATCCGGCGCGGGGAGGTGGGGAAGGGCAAAGTCAGCCAGTACGGCAAGGTTAATAGTTGCGGATGATGCCTTTTACTGCGAGGACTTGGGGGCAGGCCTTCGAGGCAGGCGCCGGGTGGGCGGACTTTCCCTAGAATGCTTCTCCGAACAAAAACGAGGATACTTCCCCTTGGGCCTTGCAAAGGTGGACGACAACCTGGGCATAAACAACACACACATCCTCCGGGCTGAAAAATACGTTGTGCGGAACCATGTCTTTCCCCTTCCCCCTGGGAGGGAATCGGGTTATTCTGCACTAACAGTCACGGCACCCCCTGGGGGGCATCTGCTCTAGATACTGATACGTTGTCGGCGGGATCATGTCCCCTTCCCCGTTCACCTGCCAGTCAGTGCCGGGGTGACCCTGGACAGCTCGTCTGCGAGGGGAGGGCGGCAAGGCGTCCCCTTGAGCAGCGGCCGTTTCCTGGAGGACAGCGCCCTCCACTCCTGCACGAACCCCCGCGCTACCTGGAACAGTAGCGTTTGTGTGGCAACGCGCTTACATAGTGGTCTTCCCGCAAGAACCTCGTGTTCATTATCTCAGAGGAACGTTGTGTTTATAATGGTTAAAGCAGACGCGCAACACGCAGTGAGTTAAGAGCGAGCGAAAGAGTGACTGGAAATGGCGGCAAAGGATGGCAGCGGGAAGACTGTCCAACACAGGAGTGTGGTACAGATTTCACCGCAGACCCCCCAACATGAGAGCGTGCGAGTAGGGCTGCACGCCGTGCTACGGTGCTCAGGCTGTTCGCGATTGAATGAACTACGCGGAGAGAACTGTGGGTGCGGGGGGCCGCACCATGAAAACGTGTGGAATGCAGTCGAGACAACTCAAGACCGAACAAATGCATGAACCAATGGATCTCAGGACATGATGGCTACGCAAATGACCACAGTGTGATGATGAGAGGGCATCCAAGAGGTTGCCCACGTCAACAACGTCAAAGCACATCAGAGGAATATACCAGGAAGGACATAAGTTGCAGCAAAGGCATGCCATAAGATACTAGTCTGCGGCCAAGGCATCTCTCAGCAGTTGTTAGGAGGTGTGGATTTCACTGCTGTTTCAAACCGCACGTCAATGATCTTACTAGACGCAACGTGCAACCAAGGGCAGGTAGGTAAGTGTACGCCGATTCCGGCGGGGAGATTGCATGCCGCCAGTGGGCCAACCAACACCCGAGCCATATGGACGAAAACGTGTGAGACCACCGGAGAGCGAGAGAGACAGAGAGAGAGAGAGACAGAGAGAGAGAGAGAGAGAGAGAGAGAGAGAGAGAGAGAGAGAGAGACGCATGCCTCCAAGTTCGAACAATTGCATGCATCGCGTAGAAGATGACCCAAGGCATCTCCCCACCCCGAAGTCTCGAATACGGCGTCACCCACCCTGAGAGCCGGAGCAGACCACAAGAGCTTCGGCAGCGTCGAAAGCGCCTCCCTAGCGGCAGCCTACCGTTCAACAAGCGGCATGGCAGCAGGCAGGCAAAAAACATGCAGCCCACGTAGAAGCAAGCAGTCGTGGCTACAGGTAGGAGAGGATCGGGTCAAGCCACCATCACTCTCTTGAATCCTGTTTTCTCCTACAATGGTACCAGTATAGCACTTCTCCGAAATCCGTCCTTTCTCATAAAATAATAACTCGTGAACCCCATCCACTGCTATACGGCGAACACGGAACAGCTGCGAGGAACCTAGTGTTCCTCGCCAAGTAGTCGAGCGAGAAAAACCAACGCCGGTATCCACGTGGAGTATCGCATAAGGCAGGGGGCCGATGCACGTCAGGGCTAACCAGGAACGCGGTGATGAAGTCAGCAGTAGGAGATACGCTCGGCATGCATAAGGCTTGAATTTGTCAGCGCCGTTCACAGCAGCGACGCAACTCATAGATGGCGTCGAGAGGCACCATGGGTGTAAGTGGTGACTGCCTTGCAGCTGGTTAGACATGAGTGCCAAGGACGCAGGCGAAACTCACGGCTGCGGGGAACATGAAACAGAATCAAAAATAGCTGCGAAGGGCACCATCAGCCGGTACGACGGCGGAGCAGCAGCAATCTTGAAACACTACTTGTGATGTAAAGATCGTGCGGGAGGACATGGCGCACAAGCACCGCATATACCGCCTCCCCAGCGTACCCATACAAGTGCAACCTACACGCTTGAGCACAGCGCCGGCTTCAGCACTGCAGAGGCATCCGAAAAAAAGGCACACGGGTGAAACCCTCTGCAGTGGACGGCGAAAACAACGCCAGCAAGTTACGGGGAAACATGGTCAATTGTTACTATGCTCTACCTGATACAAAAAAAAAGGACTTCAGTGGACCGCGGCTAGTGCGCCAACCCTAAGGTATAGAGTGGCGCCCTGTATACAGGACCAGAAACCATACATTATCACACTACAATAATACAGGGTCTGCACGCACGATTCCTACTTAGAGGACCTCCGCAAAGACCGACTCCCACCTTTATCTTGGCGGTCGATCGGTCTTGCGTTGACGCGACTTCGGGGCCTCCACCGACAGGAGAAACAGCATCCCCCCAACTACCGTAAGAGGCGAACAGGTGGCACCCCCCCTTGACCGATTTTCAAAGCTGGATTGCTCCACAACCAAGCTACAGTAGTGCCAACACCGCTAATGGTGGTTTTAGAACCATCCCATCCGAGGGTTTTTCGTCGACGAAAAATCGGTCTCTTTCTGTTCCCCTCTTGGTTGGGGAGCAACAGAGTTTCGAAAGTCGGTCTGGAGGGGGTGCAATCTCTCCGCTTCTTAAGGAGCTCTCGTGTGATTCACAAGCACCACCCGCCCAGAGGAAGAGCTTTAAGGCTAAGCACCCACCTCGCACGCTTCTGCGGCCAGCTTCCTAGATGTCGGCGTTGACGGTCCTGTAGTCGTTGCCGTGGACAACAGCAACGCCTCCTTGGCGGCCTCGAAGAGCCGGTCAAGGTCTTCCGGACGGAAGTTGCACCTGCGCCACATTGTAGCGGTGGCGGCGGCCGCGGCAGCAGCAGCAACAGCAGCAGTACCAGTTGCAGGAGCAGTAGTACCAGTAGCAGCGGCGGCGGCGGCGGGGCGGCGGCAGGAGCAGCAGCAGCAGCAGCAGAAGCAGCAGCAACGAGCAGAGAGGTACGGCGGCAGCGAGGAGTAGCAGCGAGGAGGAGCGATGTCAAAAGAGTGGATTAGTCTGCTCGCCTCGAAGAAGGAGAACGAAAATCAACAGAGGACAAAAGAAGTTTATGGTTTGAAAAGCCCCGCATCGGAAAGAGGTTCAAAGAACCACTGTTTCGTCTCATCAGGAAAAAACATAGAGTGCTTGGGCACAAATTACCCAGGGTCCGGCAACTATACCATCCCACAAACGGGGCGGGTCACGGATCGGTATGTGTTCCACAAAGAGCTCTTGAACGCCCGTAACGAAATTCGTCAAAAACACGCCCGCCTGCCGGCCAATTCACATCAGAACGCCATTTTGGAACGCCGTCTTCGGACGATAAGGAACCGGACTATCTAAACAGTGTTCAGGGGCCAGGGGGCGGGGGGGGGGGGG